TTAAAATAATTCTAAGAATAATCCATAGTTTCTTTAACTTAAACAAAATGAATAAAACACAAGTTAGGCCAAGTCACAGGAAAGTTCAAGATCGAGAGTTTTGATATTGATGACTAGCTCTCACTCATCCATGTACATGACATGATATAAAGTTTGATAAAATTACATTCTATGGTTTCTTTAAACCTAAATTGTTTACTAAAGCAAGGTCCATGTCATATAAAAGGAAAAAAAATTCTAATGCAACTGAGTTATTTGCATATATATATGCATGTAAAATGAAGTTCACTTAAAAGATTATGAATGATAACATTAAAACTGAGCTATACACTAATTTAGGAAAAGAGAGGTCATTGTCTTATGAAGTTCAAGGCAAAACAAGAGTACCCGGGTAGTTGAAACATGTATCCGCATATGAAGTTCGATTAGACCATCTTGAAATGTTTTTTAATGAACTAAACACTAATTAAGGAAAAGAAATCCCAGAGGAATGGTCCAGGTTAAAAAAAAAGAAGCATTATAATTTACATTAGTATGAAGGTTGATAAAACTATCAATAATGGTTATTTAAAAGCTGAGCTAAAAACTAATTTAATAAAAAGATGTCAAGGGCAAAAGAAAAGTTAATGTCAAAAAATGTTTATACAGTTGAATAGCTCTCATCAATATATATATATATCGGTCTATTGATAAAATATCTTTAATACTTTCTTTAAAACGGAAGGACAGAGGACAGAAGATCGTAAGACGGACATGGTAAACCCTAATGCCCCTGTCATTTTATGGGAGGGCAGCAAAAAAAATCGACCTCCTGTTTTACTCTATGGCACAGAATTATTTTTGTTATGTGTCTTTTGGATTAGAATTGGAAGATGGTATACAGAGCTGAAGTACTTAAACAGTCTTCGGACTTTTCTTTTAATTTCCTCAGTTTTGATCGGTAGAAATTGCATAATGTGACATTTTTCAATAATTTTATTGGTTAAAATGCTGTTTAGGGCAAAAAGCAAGGATGATCTATTTTTCGTACGTCGTAACAATTTTAGGGAAATTTCAATCTGATAAACAGTGAAAACATGAAGAAAACATAAATGCAAGTAATTGAAACGGAGACTAAAACTTTTTATAGCAAATAAATTGTCTGTTTCATATTTCTTACTTTTACTGTTATTCATGTTAGGTTGTTGAACATACAATGGTGAAAACATGACAATGAGCACACGGCGGGTGTGACCGGTCAGCAGGGGATGCTCACTCCTCCATGGCACCTGATCCCACCTCTAATGTTTCGGAGGTCCGTGTTTGCTCTGCTCTTATTTTGTATATTGTTAAATGGACGTAGAGATTGAATACTGTTCGTTATTTTCATATCCTTCTTACTTCTCTTCAGTTTGTAAAGAAAATGAATTTTAGATTAGTTTGACGGCTCAACTAGAGACAAAATAGAAACAACAAACACGAACAACTAAAACATTAGAGGAGAAAACATCCCCTGCTGACCGGTTGTTTCTATTTTGTATTGTTTTAAAGAGTTTTGATCTTGAATACTTGTCGTTATCTCCACATGTTTCACTCTTTCTTGTTTTTTCAACGTTTCAGCATAATAGGAAGCAGAAAATCCAAAATGCGTTTAGAAAAAATCGAAATATCTTTGAATCGCAAAATTGTTCAAACAAAGAAGAAGAGTTTAGAAAATGTATTGGACATACTTATTTTTAAACATTTATATTGTGACTTATTTTAGCCTGATTAAAAACATCTCTAGAACTTGTAAGCACCACTGAAAAAATGCTATTTAAAAGTTACTTAACTGATCAATTTGAATATTGGGAGTTTAGCAGTTGATTCCGGATTAATCATGGTCGGGGTTTTCTTAAAGGAAGTGTACACCATACGAAATAAAAACAATTAATGAAAATGACGAAAAAATAATTTCCTTTTACATTGAGATATTTATGAATATGAATAATAATATATAATTTTTCAAAGAGGCCGAGATAGTGTTTAAAAATACACAATGTTGAGACTGATTCATATTCTTATTTCTCTTGTTATAACCACAGGGGCATCTTATCCACTCTGATCTCTACTTCACATATAAAAATACACAATTTTATATGTGAAGTAGAGAACAGAGTGGATAAGATTCCCCTGTGTTATAACATGATCTTATTTTCTTTATATTTTTTATTTAATACTTTCTTCAAGTAATACGTGTATAAAAGGTCTCGTTGTAAGAATTTCGCTTCAATTTGATTGATTATAATGAATTTTGAGGCAATATAGTGGTGATAACAGGAACTACTTGAAATTTTAGAAACTGCTTGGTTTCAACATAGACCTGCATACATAATGTATGAAAGTTTCACAATAGTGTACGATTTTAAAACAGTCTGGAAAAGGAAGGTGAAGGACTATCAAAAAATCAAGTATATGATCAACAATGACACCTTATCCCATATCGCTTCACTTGGTACATACCTTCAGATCATGGGCCCATACTGGTAAACAAACATGTCTTCCGTATCATAATAACACTCGGAGTTCCTCGGATGGCTCGTACCTCGCACATATGAGAGCGTAGCGGACTCAGCCGAGGATTGTCATTTGTACTAATAATACATTGATTCAAGGGAAATAATCTTAATGCTACTTTCGTTTTAGCTTTTTGTTAAAATGTATTGAAGGATAACCACCAATCGCAACTTCTCGGGCCTTTCCGACTAGCGGAAAAACGACCTCGAAAGTATGTGGTAGACGCCATGACAACCCTCCTTTTTCACGATCTTTGAAATAAATGCATGGAGACCTTTTGTCTGTGGAATATGGAGTTTAACTTTATTCAATGTACTGATATTATCTAAAATATACTATTGAAGGGAATTCTAACTCAGTCTATCCTTTATTTGAGTAAACAGGAAATGTATAAAATTTTAACATCCGGTGATGTTAATACATTCGAGGTTGTTTTTCCGACCTCTGACAGAAAGACCCGAGATGATGCAATTGGGATAACCACCTGGAAGGACAGGTGGATTTTAAATGAATTTAATAGAAATTGAATGCCCGTGTATACATATTGCTTTTTTATCGTTCTTATTTTATTTTCCAATAATATTCAATTGTGAAGTTTAAATGGAAATCTCAGATGTGGAATTAGCCGGGCGGTAACCTGCACTTCTTTGCATCGGGCATGTCTATTTTAAGAGCATGACGTCACAAATTTAAATACTTTCTTGATCCATTTTTGTAATGTTAACTGTTCCGTTACAGAGGAAGAATAATCTTTACTGCATAAGGCAAATAAATCTGCTAAAATACAGATATGTTTAATAAGTCACGAAACAATTAATTAATAAACCTTCATTTAAATTACTTGAATGGATAAACATAAACAATATATTAAAAAAAGTAGACCGTTTTCTTTTCTTTTCCTTGCAATTAGAATATTAATTTAAGTCGTAAGTGATAGGGATGTTTATTCAGTAGGATCTAAGTGTTTTGTTCAATAGCATTTAAATATGTTCCTCAGTGTATTAAAAACGGTCATTTAAAAACCGCTGCATCTAATTTTCAAGACAGGTAAAACTCTTTTTTCATTTAAGTGCAAGCAAAGCTGAGAAGCAATAATAGGGATACATTGTTATGGCTTGTTTATAAAGAACTTGAACATCAACTGACAAAACGGTGATAAGAAGATATGCATGTACATAAACAGGAACTATTACATGCATATGAAGAAAGGATAACAGATTATTTCAACCAAGCAAGCCACTCTTACAATTATAAAATATAAGAAAAGGTTTTCCATTTTATCAAATTACACATGTATACGAGATTTTTGCCATATTCTTTTCACTTTGAATTTCATAGGCCTATATCATGTTCCTTCGCCCTTGTATGTTGAAGACGCTATACGTGTAATCCCTGTGACCTGATTGTTAAGATTTAAATGACTTCTCAAGGTGTGATCTTTAAAAAAAAAATAAGGACATCTGTACTCAATAATATTAAATCTGACTGAACGAGGACGGTCCAAAAAACGCTTTTATGGTTATCAACGAGCCGGGATCAGATTTCTGATCAGGTCCCAGGCTTAGGCAACGGACTTAGAATTAAGTCAGATTTTAAATCGGCTGTAAAATGTTTATATACATGATAAATTATTAAATCAATCTCTAAATTTGAAGATAAAACTTTTTTGGAAAACATTGTGTAGAAATATTTTGAATTAAGGGTGCTGACTTCTTCAAATTTTAAATACACTTTATACAAATTTTGTTTAAGATGTGTCATGATCCCCGGGCCTGAATGCTAAATCTTTTAGAAAGTTTTTAATGCATTCATCATACATGTACTTAAGCATTGAATCATTTCTTACAAGGATACGTCAATAAGATTGAGAAAAAACGTCATTTTGGATTTGCTTTATTAATTAAAACAGACAAATAAATAAGTAACTAAATATAAAAAAATCATAATCAAGGGAGGCAATCCAGTCCGGTCTATGTCTGAAAGGTAAAAAACCTTGTTACAATATTTCATAATACATACATGATTTTAAAAATAAATAATTAGTTGCTTTCAGATATATGTAATATTGTACGGATTTGGTGTAAACAATCCAAGTAATTTAAAGCCAGCGTTTTTATTTTAAAAAAATTTGTTGCAATATATTGTAAATCAGCGTTCTCAACCTTCGGTCTATTCATGACCAAACCGTACAAATAACCCGGTAAATGGCTCAAAATTATACCTAGTTTATTTCTTAGATATGTTGAAACAAGAGTGGAGAGAAATATATTAACTGTAATTCTCAATATCAAGAAATGGATAAATGCTCCTCAATATCCGATTTATAAACAATTAAAGACGGAAATTATAATTTAAAATATATAAAAGCATATTTCTCTCAGAAAATTTCATTACTCCGGACGTTATCTACATCCGAATGCCAGAAATTACCGGAATCGGCCGAACTTCCTAGTGACACTTACCTTGTTTAGTAGTAATTTTTCTTGTAGCCCAGGCCACGCCCGTACATTCCGCCCCCGTACGACGGATAACCTCCTATTCCGCCCCCGATCATCCCGCCCCCGTACATCCCTCCTCCATAAGGATATCCGCCCCCGTACATTCCACGCCCGTATAATCCGCCCCCGTACACCCCTCCTCCGTATCCCGGATATCCGCCCCCATACATTCCACGCCCGTATAATCCGCCCCCATACATCCCGCCTCCGTATCCCGGATATCCTCCTATCCCCCCGCCGTACATGCCTCCACCGTAAGGACTGGGGTAACCGTAGCCCCCGCCGCCCATTCCGTAGCGGTAGCCCCCAATGACGCCGCCCCGAGGTCCGGAAATATAGCCTCCCTGGATCCCGCCATATTGGATACCGCCTCCTCCATATCCCGGATAGGTACAGGTTATACAGGTAAGCGTCAGGGCTACACAGACGATCGAAATCAGGATCTTCATTGTGCTTCTGGAAATTGAAAGGAGAAAAAAAAATATCACACTATGATTTTTTAGCTATTTGCTGTATAATTTATTATTTAATTTAAAAATTTAGAATTAAAAGCAAAGTATAAGTTCTAGCAAAATGTATACATATGTTACTAGTAAAATGTATACATATGTTATTTATGCTTTTGAAATAACAACATTGATTAACAGGCTGTTGTAGTCCAAACATTTATTTATTATTTTTAATATTCAAAGAGGGAAACATGCTGACATTTTAAGTACCGAGGTAACCTGAACTATTCATAAGTCTTAAGCTTAGAGACAGGTGACAATATTCACATGCAATCATTAACTTGTTTAATCTTCAATTTATGGAATGCACAAGTAAAACATATATATTTATTCACTTACTTATTTACCTATTTTGTAAAACTGAAATCTAAGCTAGGATTAGCAAATTTAGATACATATTTGACAAAAGATATAGACCAAGAGTGAAAAACAGGTATAAGTTAGATAAAAATATTTATTTTCACATTTAATAGAAAAGACAAAAGATAAGAGAGCAAAACAAAGACAGAATTTTTTTTTTTATTTTTGCAAATTAAGTTTGATTCTGAAACATAAAAAATATACTTGATGTATAGCTTTTTTGTTTAAAAGAAATATAAATACATTTTACAAAATAGTCTTCAACTACTGATATAGATAGGATAAACTTAACTTTATAAAGTCTTATTATAAACTATTAATGTAACATTTGGCCTTCTCACGCCTTTTAATATTTACATATATTGATTTCATCTAAAATGGATATTTATTAATATCGGAAACAGTTAATGACATGGTCTGTTTGAAAAATCTTCAAAAAAGGAAGCTTGTATAAATTAAGATATGTACAATGAATAAGTACACCGCATTTTTCATTCAAGATTTTATAGGGTAGCAGTGGAATTTAAAGTAAAAATAATTTCGTTTAGATAAATATAGAATTTTGAGCGCCGTATAATCATAAAAAATATCTAGACAATTTCAAGCATATTTTTTTTCTATTGGTACAATCTTTATCAAATTAAATTATAGTCCATTTATTTCCATTCTTATTTTCCTCGCCTTACCTGTATAAATTGTAGATTCCTTTCCGTACCGGCTATAAGAAACCCTCCTTCCTTATATATCTCGTAAGAGAGGGTTCTCTTGTAGTCCAGGGAAAGTTTTCTCTAATTAACTCCATGTTCTAATTAATCACGATCGGTAATTAACAGAGACCTTACATACACACTGACCACGTCTACACGCGGTCATTGGAGATCGAGTGAGTCACGTGACCTCTGACCCGGACGATGTAGGACAAACTTAGGTTTTGTTTTGTTTCAATAATATACTTATTTAATTTAAACAATATTTTATTCACAGATGTTTTTGTGAATAGGATTGGGCAGCAGGCGCGGCCTATTTTAGCCCTCTCCCTACATTTAGGTCAAGGTACAAAACAAATAGTGATATAAAAGAATGTACAAAAGAAGAAAAAAAAACACAAACAAAATTGAACAAAGTAACAGAGAAAAAATATGCTTATTTTGGGGGGTTAGATCCGCTCCTGTATCTTCGAATACACAAGAGCCTCTATTATAATGTTTTAAAAGTTCTGTCTGGGGGTTGTTGCTATTTTTTCTGACTACCGTATACGCCGAATTTAACGAGAATTTAATTTTGGCATTATCAGCGAGGTTGCCAAGATCGGTTAAATTGAATATCGATAAAAAATAAATTGCGCTTTATTTGTGAAAGCTTCTAAAGTCAGCTTTTTAAATCGCTTTAATTGCATCTTGCTAACAATAAAAATAACAATTTTAAGGACAACTCGCTAAATTTGCGTCTCGCTAATATTTCCACTTACACGGTATATTGATCTCCTTTAGAAAAAAGCTCCATGGAAAGATATACTAGTATGAAAATTAATAATCAAAATTTAAAACTAAAACGTATGAAATTGTTCTTTGTCAAATTCTTATTGACAGCTTAAGATATCATATCAAAAAAAGTTATAACTGATGGTTAATTTATCGACCACCAGCCTCCTTAAGATTGAATAAATAAAGGATTTAAAAAATCAGTTTATAGAATTAAGAAATAAGAATAAATAAATTAATGAACAAATAACAAATTATAGAATTACAAATTCTCTTAGATTTTAAAATTTGAAAGATAAAAACTCACATCACAAACAAGTTTGTCAAATTAAAAATGTTGTATAAATATAAGTGTGTGGAGGTATAGGTGGGATGGGCTGTCTAAGTCTAAATTTAATGCAAAATACACTTAATATGTACAGTGTACTAGTATGTATTTTTATGTTAATCTTGCAACAAATTTATTCTAAACTTGTCATAAAGCTGGAATTCAGAAAAAGAGATGACACTTTTAAGGATTTTATATTTAGGAAATTAGCAAAATAATTCACATTGCAAACATTATAGATTGAAGTAGACATGTGTCTTTTAGCAGATTAATCAGAAGACGAAAAGGAACTTAAACAGAGATTTTTCTTTGTGTGGCCTAAATTCTCTGTCTTTAAACTGTTTGAACAACACGGAAGGCCGTAAATCTTCTTGAATTAATTATCTGGTCAACAGGTAAAAATAAAACCAAGATTTAATCAATCTTCAGTAATCTATCTGGACTTTTCTCATAAGTGATCTACAACTTTTAAAGATAAAATTAATCTGATATGTTCTTTCTTTATGGATATTGACAAGCATTTCCTGTTTTAGGTCTTTTTTTCATTATTTGAATTAATTACCTTGCGTTTGAGGATAAAACGTCAGATGCAAACTGACATCAACTTCAAACTTTACAAATAGAAAGATCATATAGCATATACTTATATGATTGGAATTGAAATAAAAAACTCAAAAGTCAGATAAATTCATTTCTATAATTTGTTCACTTTTCACACATTACTTTGTTATTCAAATAAAAAACTGTTAAAAACTCAACTTATTTTTTCTGTAATGTATTGGAAGAAAAGAGGGCTATCCCACCTTCGAGATTCTTCATGTCCATACATATTATATTAGACAACTATTTTTTAAAATCTATCTTTTATATTGATTTATTTTAAATTTCTATTTTTTATAATTCAGGGGAATAAGAGGAGTTGCAGATAAGAGATGGGCATTGACATCGGAAGCAAATTGAAAGTGGGGGGGGGGGGGGGGGTAAGTGTAAAAAAAAGGGAAAATTCATTTCCCAAACACGAAAGGAAGGTTCGAACTTTAGTACAAAAAAAAATTCTTTCAAACACCACCACTTTCCCACTTTTTCACCTCTACTGCGGAAAGGGGGGATTGGGGTGGGGCGTCGGGCTAAACCTACGAAGCAATTTTCAATGTCTATATACTAAGTGTATATCTGGAAAAAAATTATTAAAATTGAGTTTAATTTTACATTTTGTAATTTACTTTTAGTAAAGTATTATAAATATGTTAATAATAAATATCAACGACACCATTTTTATCTAAATTTAGCTTGTCCACGAACTTCACGGACAGCCCTCGTACATTGTATATGTACTATGACCAGCCTATATGCTGTCTAAAAATATATGGCATAATAATAACTCTAATATAAAGTCTGTAATTATAAATGTACATAAAAAGGTTTCCTTTCGCCCCCCCCCCCCCCCCGCCCGCTCCCTATAAAGAGAAAATCAGATAAACTAGGGGTACTGTGAGTAATGAGATCACGAAGTGATATCCCTGCTTTCCATATGAATAAAAATGCAGTGTCCATGTTCTGCTATTGGAAACCTAAAATATGTGTTGGATCAAAAAGTAAAAAAGGAGGTTCACAATATGTAATAAAGATTCTGTGATATCTTCAGCAAATTTCATTCATGGGGAAGAGTTGCGGATAAGAGATAGTTACCCCAAAGCTTAACAGACGGGCATACCGATTACTATATACCCTTCCGCTTTTCAAGCGGGGTTTAATAAATTACACAATGCACGATTCTTGAGATATAAAGAATGAAGCCATAATTATACTGATATTAGTTACCGCCAACTTTTAGTACTTCCAGTACTGCGATTTTAACCAGGAAGTTCCCTTATTGCAGTCCTAGAACTTACTTATAAATGTTTTCTAGATATATTTGGATCAAAGATTGAACAAATTTTTTATAGAAACGAAAGTATAACATGGGAAAACAATATAAAGATTTTTTTTGTAAAATTCTACTTTCGTTTTGAACTACGGACGCCATTTTTAGGCGTGTTTGTCAAGTGCTTATGTGTGTCATAATGAAGGAATAGGGGTAAGTATATTTGAGAACAGACAACGCATTGCTAAAATGAAACATTTTTTAAAAATGAAATTAACGTATGATGTTTGTGTAATTTTTGATTGTTTTAAAGATAAAGCAAATTTTGATTACAAGAATTCTATAGTTTATCGGAACTCAAAATATAACGTTTTTCAAGAAACAATCAATTACAATTTGCAAGCATTTTCTTTCTTTAATTTTTTTTAAATAGGTATAATACTGATAGTAATCACTGTTATTTTTAGTGTTCCATATTCTCCTCTTTACTGTAGATTTGGATTTAGTAATGAAAAGACAGTATGGCTTCAGGAGAACGGAAAGATTTATCGCTAGTATTTTTCTGGACACTATTTTTTGTACAGATCCTTCAATACGAAAGTGTAAGTAGAGCACTCCAACTAGTTTTTCATATCAATGAGTGTGTTTCTTGAATATGCAGAAAAAACTTTTGGGTATTTAACAAATTGAGCAATACAAGGTTTCATTAAACTGCTGCTTATACTTTTTTTTAATATAAATTCATTGAACTCATTTATTCATTTCTACATGGGGTCACTTGACCATGTTTTCAAGTAACCTGAACTGAGATGACCTAATGCTATCCATTTTCGTTCGTTGTCATACGTCATTGGTCGTCCGTCGCCCGATAACATTTGAACTTTGTCATCTTCTTCTCTGAAACTGCTGAAACAATTTCAACCAAATTTGGCATATAGCATTTATTGGTGATGGGGAACAAAAATTGAATTTATGGCCCCTGCCCCTGGGGCCTGGAGGGTCGGGATAAAACTACTTAAATTAGTGCACTCTTTGAAAATCTTGTATACTCCTGGAAATCAAGCAGTCAAACTGTTGGCATGATAGTAATCAGCATTGAGTCCTCTACCAAAATTGTGAAATTCATCGCCCCAGGGTCAGGGGTTCTAACTAGATTATAAAGTAAAAATGCATTATTTCTTTGAAGTTCTTCTTTTCTCTTCCTTGGCATTAAATAAACTAACCAAGTGCATACTAAATTAAATATGACTGCCTCTTCTAAAATTGTGAATCTCATGGCCCCAAGGTCAGGGGTTCTAGTGTTAGGGCGGGGCTGTATAGATGACATAGTGAAAATGCATGAATTCTTTGAAATTCTTCTCCTTTGCTCCTTGATATTAAATAAACTAACCATGTGCATAATTATGTTGAATTAATTTATGTTGCCTCTTCAACAATCTAAATTTTATGGTTACCCATGGTCAGGGATTCTAATGCTAGGGCGTGGCTCTATAGGTTATATTGTAAAAATGCATAATTTTTTTGAAATTCTTTTTCTCTACTCATTGGCATTAAATAAATTAACTAAGTGACAGTTATGTTGAATAAGGCCACCTCTTCCAAAATTGTAAACTTCATGGCCCCAGGGTTAAGGGTCCGATTGCTAGGGCGGGGCTATAAAGATTATGAAGTAATATGAATTATTTCTTTGAAAATCTATCTGCACCTGGGTTTTAAACCAATGAACTTTGTACATAGTTATTAAGTGGAAGGATGCCATTTTGAGATTTTTGAATTTCATGGCCCCTGGGCCAGGGCTTCTTGTGTAGGGCGGGGTTCTTATGTTTATTTAATGAAAATAGATGAATTATTTAAAAATCTTTTCCTTTGCTCCTGGGTATTATGCCAATGATCTAAAGACATATGTGTGATAAAAAAACTGCCTCTTCTATAATTGTTAATTTCCAGGCCCCTGGGTCAGAGGTATTTGAAGGACGGGGGAGGTGATACATAGTTTTAAGATAAATTAATGCTTTGATTGATTGTATATTGTTTAACGTCCCTCTTGAGAATTTTTCACTCACATGGAGACGTCACTGTATGCCGGTGAAGGGCTTCAAATTTTGACCTATACTCGGCACTCAGGGCCATAGTGAGGGTTCTTTATCGTGCCAGCGCCTACCTTGACACAGGACCTACGTTTTTAAGGTCATATCCGAAAGACCCGTGACTTTCACTTCTAGTGCCGAGCGCTTGGCGAGGGAACAGTCAGTACCTTTGTTTACGTCTTAGGTATGACGCGGCGCCGCGAATGAGAATCGAACCCGGGCCTCCCGATCATGAAACGAACGCTCTACCACTAGGCTACCGTGACCGGTAATTAATGCTTTGAAATTTGCACTTTGGTATTCAACAATTTATGAAGAAATAAAATTCATGATAAAATTTACAGAATTTGAAATATGTGACTCCAGGGTTAGTGGTTCCTGTGGGATTGGGTGCACAACTGGTTGCAAAGTGGAAATGCATTTTCTCTTTGTTACTCTGATTTATTTCTGGGTATTAAGTTACTAAAGTAATCATGCTTATTGTATAATTATGATAAGCAATAGTGCTTCTTTCAAAATTTCACGGCCTCTTGAATGAAATTCAATTGTTGTTAACTTGTTACGGGATACTGATGTGACCTACAAGGCCCGTAGGCAACTTGTTTAGTTTAATGGCAATCGAGGCATCAAAAGTCAACATAAATTAAATCTACGCTTAATGAATGTGCAAAAATTGTTTTGATCAAAATACAAGTTCAAGTTCAAGTTCAGTTTATTCACCCAGACCAATCTATTGGTACATGGGGTATTGTGCATAAATAACATATATACATTATATACAATATAAACAGTCTGGTCAGAGGTACATACACATACACAATATAAAAAACATAACAAAAGATCAATGGTAGAAAAAAGGAGTGGGGAAACATATCAAGGAGGACAGACAGCAGCATAAATTTTTTGGATAAATATACAAAGTTTTTTCATTACTTTTTCGTTTGAGGTTGACATAATTTCCATGAATTTTATAACATTCGGTCTAGAAGAATAATAATTACCTAGGTAATTCTTTCTCACATTAGATAACGTTTTACATTCTAAAATATAATGAAATTCATCTGCAATTTGATTAGTTTTACAAAGTGTACATATTCTATCGCACAGTGGTAAACCTTGCCATCTTCCTGTCTCTATTGGTAAACGGTGATTTGTAGTACGAAATTTCATAAATATTGCTCTAAATTTAGGAGATAACTTATTAATATAATTTTCAAATCCAAAATTTTGTTTAAAGATTCTGTAAGTTTGTCCTTTTGAGGAATTATTAACGTCACTAAACCATTTTTGAATAAATTGATCTTGTAATATTTGTTTTACGGTAGCAGTTATCCATTTATAATTCATATTGGCATTCTGTTCGTACCATACATTTGGTAAACCACATATATTACATATTTTCTGTATACAATCTAACCATGGGTTTGTTAAATTTCCATCACAGTACAATTTAAACATATGTTTGTATAAAACATTTACAATTTTAGTTTGTGGGCCTGAAAAAAGCTTTGCCCAAAATGCAATCATTCTACAGTATACCGAGATGTACAGAGGAAAGCGACCTGTTTCACCATAGACCATGTACGATGGCGTGGAACTTTTCAAATTAAATACATGCTTTAAAAACTTCAAGTGTAAACGTTCTACAATATCAAGGTTTTCGTAGCCCCATACTTCAGAGCCATATAGTAAGACTGGTACTACAACTCTATCAAAAAGATCAAATTGACAGTCAACTGGTAATTTGAATTGTCTGATTTTTCTTATAATACCATACATCGCTTTTTGAGCTTGTTCATATAAGTGTTTTTTTGTTTTACAAAAGGAACCAGAGCGTGAAAATACAACGCCTAGATATTTAAATTCTTTAATGTTTTCAATAACTAAGTTATCGTAATAAAATTTTCTTTTTAACATTGGACCCTTTGAAAATACCATGATCTTCGTCTTTTCGACATTAACTTTCAACTTCCATTGTAAACAATATTTTTGAAATTCGTTAATTGCATGTTGTAATTCATCGGCTGATTCAGCCATAATAACAGTATCATCTGCATATAAAAGTACTAACAGTTTAAAATACATTAGTAATTCATTCTCAATAGTACTTGAAATACTTTGCAAGCCTGCAACATTCTTGTTAAGTAAAAAATCTTCAAGATCATTAATATACATGGAAAATAGAAATGGCGAGAGGTTTTCTCCCTGTCTTACTCCTACATCGAACTAAAAAATTCTGTGGACATGCCATTCATTTTCACCATAGACTTAATACCTTTATACATATTTTGAATATATTGAAAACATTTGCCTTTTATTCCATTAATTTGTAATTTGGCCCAAAGGCCATTCCGCCATACAGTATCAAAGGCTTGTTTAAAATCAACGAAAGCACAGAATAATTTTTTCTTTCTTTGCATTAAAATATTTGATAGAAACTGTAATGTTAAGATATGATCTAGTGTAGAATAGTATTTCCTGAAACCAGTTTGATTTTCTTTCAATAAATTGTATAAAATGTACATTGTATAAAATTTTTTCTTGCTTAGATTATTGAAGCGCTTTAAATTTGAAATGTGATTAAATCAATAATTATAAAATCACACTTGACTAGTAAACTCAAGATCGTGCGATTACGACTGCAAATGTATCATCGATTGTTTACTTCAGGAAATATATTGATTCGGACTTGGTGAAATTTTGACATCTCGAAAAGTTTTCTTGACCTACTAATTACTGAATTTCTTACTGCAAAGTTAATGAAAAACCTAAAGATAATTTTTTTCAATTTTTTTTATGTTAATACAAATATGAAGTTAGTACTGAAACCCTATAAATAACTTATGAAAACGTTTTCACAATTCAGTACAATGAAATTTTTGAAATTTGGCATGAAGTTAATTTTGACTCCATCTTTCAATACTGTGTCAGTACCTTGATTATATTCCTGCTACGTAGGATTGATCTGGTACAACTTTTCGTTATAATAAATAGTTAACTCAAAAGCATTTCAATCTTCATTTATTCAGTTGACCTTATGGCCTGTAGACAGCTGTCCCGGAAATCAATCTGAAGTCGAGGCTGCCACACTCAGACTGAACTGTTCTGATGTGAGGGAGTCGATCAACGTGTATCACTGTCTACCTCTATCCAATCTGTCTGATTTGGTAGAGTTCTGTTACGATGGAAGAAGTGGTTTGGTTGAAGCGGGTAAATCAATTAAAACCTATTTGTTCTGATAAAAGTACATTTCAATGATAAAAAAGTCTTACAAACCGCTTAATAAAGTAATAGAATTTATGCTCATCGATACTGCAATTTTCACAGGTAACTGTATGGTACTGTACAGGGAAACTTTGAACAACTACCAATGTGGTCACTTCAAAAATGGCTGTCCAAATGCATATTATTTTCCAAAAAATATGTACAAGTGTAAGTAACTATGTTCTAAGACGCCTTAAAGACGTTTATTCCTAATGTTTTGTGAAATGAATATACACACTGTATACTTTAGTTAACAATCCATTGAATATCACTTAGATCTTTGGTGATTACATATCTATCAAATATGACGTAATTTTCTGGTAAGTCTATGCATTATGACGTCATGAAATGCGTCAATTTCCTCTTATCTGAAAAAGTCTACAAAAACGGTCAGTTTTTAAAGCTATTTTTCGATAATTAATATAGCGCGCAAGCTCTGATCTAAAATATGCAACAAGTATATGATGAAAATGTTCCTGGGGATTAAAAACATGTTTTATTTTTAAGATTAAAGAATGCGCTCATATATTTTTTCTTCACTGAAAGTACCCACATATAAATGTTAACCTTGAAATTTAAGAACATTTGAAATTCATAAATCCAGCTGTTCTCCAAGATCTGGACTTGTAGGAAACACTTTTAAATAGGAAATGAAACCACCAAGTCTCTATTTTATTTTTATGCTTCAAACAGAACATCAAGTGTTAATCAATCAAATGGTATACCTTTATGGCCATTTTATACACATACATCCCTTGTTTATGAAAATATCATTAAATTCAATATCAGGAAATCAATTAGCAAAAAGTAATTGCTTTTAATTTCTCTCTGTTAGATAATTGCACTGTTTGGTTTGAATTTGTAGGAGTTATTAGTTTAGACTTTGGTAAGACGATCAATAAATCTGGAACATGCTAAATAATCTTTTAAATTTTCAACCAAAAATATCATTATATCTTGGATGTATACTCTTCATATATATTTAATAGTTATAAAATATATATAATTGCAAAGAACTTCAAATTAATCAACTATATACAATTTTAAAGGCATTGAATTCAATATACTACGTATCAACGCGATCATTGCTTTCTAAATATTTTTTCTCAAAGAAAGAAAGAAAAATTCCGGAATTATTTTTCTTTTAATTTAAAGCAAAAATATATCATGACTCCGCTCTTGTCTCTAAATTTAAAGTATGTGAAAGAAAGTTTCAAAACGATGTAAATGGTTCTTTGAATAGTTAATAAGTACAACTTATGTATCAGCGGATTTCATCTTTTATTTGTAAATCCGAATTTCTTTAAACAGTAAAAATAAACAGAACTTATTTGGTAGTCTTTTCATGAAAATCATGTAAGAAAAGTTTAGGAGTGAATCATGAATAATTGTATATTATTTGTTTCATAAATCACGTATTTTTTAATTCAGATCATCTAAAATATTTCAGTTTTCTTGTAATATACCCAAACGCCGGCGTAAAGATCGATCTACATTGTATGTACAATGTATAGTTTCTCACACGGTTCTTACCTGAAAATTGCACGTTTCTCACACGCTTCTTGCACGCTCGCTACACGGTTTGCATGAAACGCTTTGGAGCTTACACGAAACGCTACACGGTTTGCACGAAACGAAAAGCGCACAAAAGACACACCCTTTTTTTGGGGTAGTAGCGCGTCTCAGGGTCTGTATATTTGCTTTTAGGTATGTGTGACATACTAAATTGGAGATATACAAAATATGAAAAAAACTGAACGACAGGTATTTTTTCAGCTAAAGGTCCTTCATCCCCTTAACTCGGTACGTGAAAGTATCACATTAACATTTTGACCTTGACCCACATTGAAAACCTAGGTTACAATTTATAAAAAAAAAATTAACACGCTATCATTTTACTAATAAAAGTCGTGCAGCTTTAAAATTGAAACTTTTGACAAAATATATTTACTGTATAACATTCCATGTTTTGCAAAAGGGATAACAAAAGACTTGTCCATGATATGCACCAAATCATAATTTTGCTGTCAGTAATGTTGCTAATGAAAAAGGGTAGCCTTTGATTGGGAGAAATATGTACGTTTTGTGAAAACAAATCCTAATTATAACCCATCCGTTTCGCGTTCTTCCCCCATACCTTTGTTAAAAACACCCTAGCTACATGTACATAGGATTTTGACTGCCATGTTTCAAAAAGGAGCTTACGCCGTGTTTAAGCTTTCGGGTGTCAACAGAGAATACTTACTCCTCTAAAGCCTGCAGATTTTCAGAGATCCGTTTTTTACGTCATGTTAACAAATAACCTTTCATTATCTGCAGCCTTTACAAGATTTCCCCATCTTTATCACAAACTTCTTTTCCACAGACCCAGCCTGCTTAAAGATAAACACACAGAACAACTGTTATATTGCGGATCCAAGTTGTCCTAATATAAGGTAATATGATAATTATATAAGTATAAATGAGGTATTTTGATATGAATTACGAACAAATATGAGAATAATAAGAATTATTATCACAGCAAATTATATTCTCTACATCAATATTTGCTACCGTTCACGGTAGCTCAGTCGGTAGAGCGCTCGCTCCGTGATCGGGAGGTCGTGAGTTCGCATCTCGGCCGCGACCGACCTAGTCGTTAAAATGGGTAGCAACTGTTCCTTCGCCATGCGCTCGGCACTTTGAAGTGAAAGTTGCGGGTCCTTCGGATGAGACCTTAAAAACCGAGGCCCCGTGTCAGCGGCAGGCGCTGGCACGATAAAGATCCCTCACTGCTCAATGGCCCTGAGTGCCGAGTAAAGGTCAAAATTTGAAGCCCTTCACCGGCATACGGTGACGTCTCCATATGAGTGAAAAATTCTCGAGAGGGACGTTAAACAATATACAATCAATCAATATTTGCTAATTTTTGAAGAAATAATTTCATATTTGTTATTCTCTTGTACATACAGAAACTAATTTTAGTTTTTAATTCAGATATAGAATATATAAGGGTCATCTTGCACCTACACAATTTTGTACAAAAAATCTTTTACAACTTAATTGAAAAATTTAAATGTTTTCTTAGGTTTTTTGGAACAACGACAATATCTTCAGTTACTTCGACGGAAAAAACAACGACTATGCCTACATATACTGCAGTTGATAATAAAAGTCTTTATGTTGAGGCAACGTCTATTCCCGCACTCAGTGGAAATAATAATCACAGGCTGTTACATTTAATTCCAGTTTTGCTTGGTGTTTTATTACCTCTGCTTGCGGTTGTTTTAGTTATTTTGCTGAGTTGTCGGATGGATAAACGAACAGGAAAAGGTAATTTAGAAGCTTAATTGGTTCCAATGAGTCTAACCTGGGCCATAAATTTTGAATGGTTGAAGAAAAAAATCCTGTATTACATATGAATATTCTCTTCTACATGTACAAGACCTTTCCTTTTGTAAAAAAAAAAATTGACGATTTGACTTTGACCTTATATCTAGTCATACTTCAGAAAATATTAAATTTGACTTTCACATTTCTTTTGACAAGACCGTCTCTTGAGTAATTTTGGTAATACCGTAAATCTGGAAATTTTTGCTGTAGATTAATATTTAGCAAATTTTTTTAAAAATTCATTGCATTCAAAAACACTTTTTCTTAAAAATAAATTACCAATAAGAAAATGTAAACAAAGCAGTGGTCTTTCGCAAAGTTTTGAATCGTAAAAATTAAATTAAGCAGCATTTTGGCCCGAATTCGCTAAATAAAATCTACTCAAAAATTTCCAGATTTACGGTATTGACTTTGGCCTTTGAGTTTGAACTTCATTTGTAAATCTTAGTCCATAACGTTTGAAAATTTCTTTCTCTAGAAAAGGCGGTACAGAATAACGGTACTATTCCCAATGCCGAATTATTTTTTCTTCCAATTGTCAGATTTAAATTTCATAATTAATTTCTCGAGGATCAGTCTATGATGACAAATAGTACATTGTATGAGTTTAGGAAGTATTACTTAAATCGAAAGAAGAGATCAGTTTATGGAGGAATACTTGTCTGGTTTCTGACTCGAGCCAAAATGCTGCTTAATTTAATTTAACATACATACATATAGCATATATATGAAAAATCTTCATAAATCTTCAGGAGCAGCAAAGCAATGAATGAAAATATTTATATGGAAGCATCATCAAGTGGTGTTGTTCAAATTTTGTTAAAATAGAAGGATATATACGGAGCTAACAAACAGTATTCAATCTAAATTCTATAAAACAATTCAAAAAAGGAAAAGAGCAAACGCGGACCTCCGAAACATCAGAGGTGGGATCAAGTGCCATGGAGGATTGAGCATCCACATCTGCCGTGTGCTCCTTGTCATGATCGGGAATTAACGGAAAAATCCCTCCTCAAGTCAGTGTATAAATAATGGACTAACAATTAGAATGAAAGTCAGCATTTGACTCATTGGAGCCATAACATGGACGTTAAAATCTTAATTAATGAATATAAAGGAAAATCTTCAAAAAACTTCATCTCAAAAGCAGCAAACTTTCGATTGGTAATATCTATTATATAATATGAAAACATTCACAGATGGTGTTGATTCAAATTTGTTCAAATAATGACCCCCGGGGGTAGGGTGGGATCCCAATTGATGATCAAAGTTTTATTTAGGTGTATATAGTAAACATCTTAGACCAGCAGAGTTATGGAAGGTCATATTTATATTGAATATCTCTCTGTTGATATACTCGTAGTTATAATTTGTTGATGTCGTTCCTTAAATAACAATGCTGATAAAATTGAAATTCAAATTTCAATGACATGAAGTTGGTCACATAATCAGAAATAATTGATTATGGAAAGCAAACTGCACAAGCCATTTGCAAAGTTTCAATTGTGACGTCATATGACGCCGTAGAAACGTTAAGTTGCGTTTCCGAAGCAAAGTCTAAATTTGCCTATATTTCTTTGTAACACGACTGAAAAAGTAAAATCGAATTTGATCACATGACCGACTTCATGTCATACCCAAATGAAACTCTCAAAATGATATTTTATTTCTTAAATGAACGATGAAATTTTTATATAGGAGTATAATATATGAATATTGTTTAAAAATTTTTTTTTCCAGAATAGCAAAGTCATGTTTTGTCATTTATATATGGAAACATCCTCAGATAGTGATTAATCACGTTTCTTTAAAGTCTAATCTCCAGTGGTAGGGTGGAGGCCAGAGTGAAGTTCAAACTTTTAGGACTAATGTCAAAATTGGACAAATAAATATATATGCATCCTTACTTAGTACGTAGATTAAATTTCTTTGAAATCATACCCTCTCTCTTTTTAGGGATACTTCAGGACTACTAAATATGCATTTAAGCTTTTCAATATATTTTTCTAGCCTCAGTGCTGAGCTTCTTATTCTTCTATTCTATCTTCTACGGTGTTTTAGAGGTCTCTATTGGCTCTGCTACAAATATGAATTGAAATGAACTATTGAATTTAATTACTGTTTGTTATTTTCATATTTCCCTTCATCGTTCATCCAAAACAAACTAATAATAAAATAAACTGAGATAATGAACAGAATTCAAACTCAAAGTCCATTAAACAACACAAACTAGCAGAACAAACACGGACCTCTAAAACATCTGAGATGGGATCAGCTATCATGGAGGAGTGAACATCCCCTGGTCAAACCCATTGCGTGCTCTTTGTCATGGTTAGAAAATAATGTATAAGTCTGGCGACAATTTAGTCTTTGGCTCTAAAGCGTTATATTTATTTTCTAATTTATATTGAAAGTATTAATGAAGCTTAAAATATATATTCTCACTTTCTTTGAGCTTTCAAAATTGTGTCTATCTTTTAGCAGATAGGTCTTTAATTTATTTTCAGAAATTTCAGATGCAGAATCTTTATAATCAATTACTTATTTTCACAAAAAAAATGATTTGAAGAACAATATTGGAAAGATTACGCGTATAGACTTATGCATTTTAATAAACAATGTGACACTTTGATTAACAATGAAATACTTAATTATGTTTTCTAATGTGAATAAGACGGGTATGATAGTAAATATTATTAAACCTCATTATAAATATTCTAAACCACGTGTAATTTGATTGGGTCTAAGTTATCACTTGATCGAGCCATAAAACTTCATATTTCCCAGCCGTCGACATGTTTTTCATCATATTCTATCTCTTCGGATACTTACTGCATTTTTCCACAAAAATTATCGTTCGTTTAAAGAAAATTCCCGAGAGTATAGTAGACGTCACAATAACCTGGTTTACGTCACAAAATTGATGATAATGTGTTGACAAAAGAGTTCTAGTAACTTTTTTTTTTTAATGAAAGTGAATTTGAGAGCGATGCCAAATTTGAAAGTTTATGTAAATTTCAAATATTTTTCTTGTTTCGGTATAATAAACAAATCATTACATGAATACTCGGGAAACATGAATACTTATTCAGCCAAGAAATATCTTATTTCCCTCGGGCAAAGCCCTCGGGGAATGTGATTTTTCTTGGCTGAATAAGTCTACATATTTCCCTCACTATCATGCAATAAATGTATATTATTTTCATATAAAACCTCATATTTTTTTAATGTTAGATGAAATATTATTGATCTTTCCATTTACCATATTAAATTTTTTTTATATCATAATAAGACAAATATTCATTTCTGAATAAGTAATCAGCACTTGATACTTCAAACGATTTTCGATTAAAATATAATGCTTTTGTTGTTGATGAAAATAAATGTTGGAAATGACAAAAATAGTGACATTTGAATATTTTATGAAGGGAAAATTTAGTACTAAAGGATATTGGCAACATTTCTGGCTTTCATGTAGAATTGTAAAGAAATTTTGAACAAGTTAAATGGTACTAAAATTTTTTAACCAATTAAGCCAGTCTTTCTTTATAGATTTTGTTGAATCAATGTTTTTACAATTCTCAATGCATTACCTATGTAAATTGATGATTAAATGGACTTACATTATTCTTAACCATAATTTCTTTTACTCTAAAACCATTTAATTCGTAATGTTTTGAAATAAAATGCATTGTTGTATACTCTGTTTCGTGGTTTGCCAGTGACCTTAATTCTTATTTTTCAATAACACATTTAGGATTATATATAAAGCTTTAACAACGTTTTCCCCACCCGATCATAGAGTTATTGCCATTCACGTGTTTTAACCATTTTTCTTATTTGCATCAACTTTATTTTCATGTAAAGACCCAGCAGAAGAACATGAACTGAAAGAAAACCTGTTCAAAACAGTTAATAAAGGTGAGCGTCCAAAGAATGAATTTAATAGCTACCCAAGTTATACTATATAACCTAGGTTCGAACATTTCCTTAAATCTGGGACCCCCACTAGGAATAAATAGTTCGATAGCATTATTACCTTCTGAATATGTTTTTGAGGTTGTTAAGCATTTTATAACACGTTTTCATACAGACACATCATTTGAGATGGACGAAACTTCTCCATTGATTGCAGACACTCCAATGAATGAAGGTAAACCACATTTATATTCTATATAAAGAAATTTGTAAACTCTTGATAATTTAATATTTATTTTTTGTGAAAAGAGATAATATTAATGAAAAAATGTTGGAACATCAATTGACACTTATTGTGCTCCTTAATTGACTGATCTGTATATATATTCCTTGAAAAACGTCTCCTCTAGAAGAGAAAAACACTAATTGTTGCATTCAATACAACATTCAAATATATCGACATTGATTTATCCATAAAAATAAAAATAGTTTCGACTCGATATTTTACATTGGACTTGAAATAAAAGCACCTGCCACATCTATTTCATATCTAGATATACCTTTCACTCCCTAATTCTAGACACTTTCTGTAGCCAATATGTATATTTATCAACTCCCAACCAATTGTCGTTGTCTCTACAGGCAAAAAACGCGCTTGAAATAAATTTTCATCAATATAACACATTATTATAATCAAGTGAGTTTATCACTTGTAGAGACGACTATAAAGGGTTAGGAGATAGATAAAATATAAGATCAGTTGAATAATGTGTCTAGAATTAGAGAGTGAAAGGTAGTGAATTGACCGATGCTGGAAAGTTGAGAAATTCTCCCCAAAAGTGTGGAAAAAATTCTTCCGCCGTAAATGACTTTTTTTGCATTACGGGATCTGTAACGTTATGGTCAAAGACAAATTTATAATTTATAAAACCTTAACGCTACAGATCTGCAGCTAATTGCATATATATATCAGTAAACAACATAATATTTTATGGCAGTATGTTTGGAAGTGATTTCGATTTTTAGGTCATCTGAGTAAACTCAGGTGTCCTATTACTATCCGTTTTCGTTCGTCGACGTGCGTTGTGCGTCGTGCGTAAACATTTGAATACTTTCAGCTTCATCTCTGCAACCACTCAACAAATTTCAGTCTGATTTGGCATAAAGCATCTATGGGAAAAGGGGAACAAAAATTGTTAATTCCCCTTGAGCCTGAGGGGTGGGGCCAAAACCACTAAAATCAATACAATCTTTAAATCTTTTTCTTTACTCCTGGATATCAGGCAGACAAGCTGTTTGCGTAATTGTAATCATCATTGAGTCCTCTACCAAAATTATGAACTTCATGGCCCTGGGTCAGGGATTCTAGTGCTAGGGTGGGGCTAAATAGATTATATAGTGAAAATGCATTATTTCTTTGAAAAATCTTCTTTGCTCTTGGTCATTAAATAAACTAAATAAGAACATAGTTATGTTGAATAAGGCTGCCTTTTCCAAAAATGTGAATTCCATGGTCCCAGGGTCATGGGATCTTAGTTGCTAGGGAGGGCTATATAGATTATATAGTGAAAATGTATTATTTCTTTGAAAATCTTCCTCTTTGCTCTTGGACATTTAATAAACAAACCAAATACATAGTTATGTTGAATAAGAATGTCTCTTCCAAACTGCGAGTTTCATGGCCCCAGGGTCATGGGTTCTGGGGTAAGGGCGGGGCTCTATTGATAATATAGCGAAAATACATTACTTCTTCAAAAATCTTCTCCTCTGCTCTTGAGTATTAAACCAATAAACTATGTACATAGTGATGATGATGAAGGATGCCCCATCCAGATTTGTGAATTTCATGGCCCAAAGGTAAGGGGTTTTGTTGTTAGGGTTAGGTTAGAGGAGGGACTCTAAATGATTATATACTGGAAATGCATGAATTCTTTGAAAACCTTTTCCTTTGCTCCTGGATATTATGCCAATGTTCTAAGTACAAATTAATGATTATGAAAGGGGCCTCCTTCAAAATGATTTATTTCTGGGCCCTATGGTAAGAGTACTTTGGGTCGGGTGGGGGTTATATAGTCTGAAAATAAATTAATGCTTTGAAATCTGCTTTTTAATATTAATCACCCTTTTATGAAGAAATAAAATTTATGATGAAATTTCAAGAATTTTGAAATATGTGTCCCCGGGGTCAATGGATCCTTGGGTTGGGTGCACAACTGGTTATTAACTGGAAATGCATTTCTCATTGTTAATCTGATCTACCTCTGGGTATAAAGTAACCAAAGTAATCATGCTATTTAGTGTATAGTATTGATAAATAATGGTGCCTCTTTCAAAATTGTGAATTTCACGGCCTATGGTTTTAACACATGAATCAATTTCAGTTGTTGGAAAGTTGTTTTGTGATACTCATGTGACAATTCAGGCCCGTGGACCTTTTTCTATGTGAACATTCTCTTTTTAATATGACTAGACAAACACCATGAGTTAGAAGGAAGCTTGCCTTTGAAATCGGATGAAGACTATTCCTTGAATGAAAGTAAGACGTAATGAAACACGTGTAAAACTTGATTATTAAGTTATATTGAATAAGAATGAAGTATGTTTTTAATTATTCATGATACAGTTACAAAATAGAACAAAAAAGTACTTTCTTTTATTATTTAATTTTATTTACAAAATGCCAAAAAAAAATCTAATTTTTTAAATAAATCATAATATAATGTGCTTACAGGATAATACAAAGATTACATTTTATTTAAAAGTAACTGATAGTAATTTAGTAGTACTATTTATGTATATATCTAAAAATCTCCTGTAGTGCAGACATACCTCGAAGACAATGAATTTTTGGAGCGTTATCAGAAATATCTTGAAGAAGGATCTGTAGAAGTGTGCCCGATTTCACAAATCATAATTGTTGGTGAACAAGGAGTAGGAAAAACAACTCTTCTCTACCGACTCCAAGGGAAAAGTCAGGAGGAAATCAAAGCAATAACATCAACACGAGGAGTGGAATGCCACACAGAACAACACAGCTTTATCATTACAAAAAACCAGCTTGGTAATGTTTTTACCACACATGCAATTTTTAAAAAATTCTCTTAATTTTTCCCCAGTCTAAATATACGAATTGCTGTAGCCTATCATAAATGTGTTCACTTAGTGATAGGAAGATCACTGGTTCGATACTCGTTCCCGACGTCATTAAACTTTATTGGAAACATACGTTGTGGCTGTTTCTTCGCGAGGTATCAGACATCAGAAGTACTATATATATGATTTTAAAAAGAAAGCTGGCAAGCAATTGCATGATAAAGAATTTTACGCCTCAATATGGCTGAGTAAGGATGTAAAAAACACTTAGATTGAATTTTTGTTCGATGTATGAGATTTCTAATACCGGTATTTGTCTGAAATTGTTTATTTCTATTTTTATTTTTTATTTATAAACATTTTTTTGCAAACCTAAACAATTTTGAATATTTTAATGACGTGTCAAATTGTCTTACAATTAATCATAAACAATTCTGAAATTGAATTGATATTGTTCGAATCATGTCGCTATCCCTTGATGAGAAAATAAAATTGAAGGTTGTACCAAACATGATCGATAGAGATTTAGGGTATTGCTCCACTCAAAGTATTATCTCTGCTACACATCTTTTCTGAATTTGTTCAAAGTATAAATTATTTAAATTATTATATATTGTGATAAACTTATTTACGAAGAGTAAAAGCTGAAAATACTTTTCTCTGTGATTACTGATAAAGAAATTTGTTTTACATCATATTATGACTTACCTACTTAAAGATGTTTTCGGTTAAAGATAAAGATACATAGAGATCAGTTCCAAATCACTCACAGTCCGGACGAGGCACAAGCGTGTCTACAGGATGAGGCCAAGTGTGTAATAGTAAAAAGATTGTAAAAATAAAGGGTATTCAGAACACTCATGGACTGATTTGAAAAAAGTGTTCTAATGTAGATGACAATGTACATAAATATTACGAACAAAGATAGATCTCATAAAAATCTATAATCAATAAAATTTCTGAGCAGGGCATAAAACAAAGATTATCAAAATTCCATTGATGTGATAAATTGCCATGGATGAGTAATTGATATCCTGATGACCAGTCTTCCTGCACATCAGTTAATATGAACATACATTTTGTAGTCAATTAGATTAAAAACAAATGCCTATTAGTACTAAGCACTTCAGCCAACATACGACCCAATGGTTTCTCTTGCTGAATAAATCAATTATCAAATCACACTATATTGATGTCCTCTATGCATTAAAGATCAAGTATCTTTTATTGTCAAGTTTATTGGATGTCATGTTTAAATCACAAAAATGTACATTGTAACATTAATTTTTCACGACAATAATAATATTCTTTTGATGATTTGACTTCGATTTGTTTATTAATGAATCACTGTCTAGTTCGTATAGCATGCCAGGGCTTCCCGCTATCGTTGATGTCCCTGGCATACTGACAGTGATTCCTTATATTTCCATTTCATTGTGAAATAAAATTGTAGATTTATGTAAACATAGTTTTAAATTACACAAGGACTTCCTTGTCAATTTTTATAGCCTTCGCCCACTGACATCAAATACAAAGGCAGCCGCACGAAATTTGCATGCGTATTTGGCATCCTTAGCATCAGACACAGAGACAGATGCGCACGAGATTTACATGCAGGCCTCCTTAGCTCCTGACTTTTCGACCTACCTTATAAAAATTCCGGCAGACGTATCACGAAATTAACTCCGCTAAGTTTCAAAGAGTGTAAAAGGGACAAAAACAAAAAATTGAAATATTTAAGAATGACAATTCAAGAAAAAACAAATGTATCTTTTGCAGAGATGAACCTGAGGGGAGTAAGCAGTCTGGCAGTCGACCCTGGACATGTTAATACATTTTCTGAAGGTAAAAACAACAGATGTTAATAATACATTGCAGGAAAACAATTTTATAACAGCAATGACAAAGCAAAATACATGTAAGCATTGCTTAGACCTTCAGAGGCTTCTTTCAAATCAGCATTCTTGCATCATAATATCAATGAGTTTTTATTCACTAAGACATTAAAAAATAGAAAGGAAAATGGTTAAATTTCCCAATTTATTTATACTTGATGAAATATTATGATCAAATGGTTATATAAGACACTTTTTTGTTTTAAACAGCAATGTTGATATTCAATTATTTCTGAATTTACTTTAGGTAGCACGATGCTACTTTCGGTAGCATTGTCAAACTTTTAAAACAGCGTCATACAAGAACAACTAGAATAAAATTAGCAAGTGAAAAAAGTGAGGTTGTAACAAAATTAGTAACCTGCATATATTTCTGAAATAAAAATATTTTTGTCAAACATCTGACCACCCGTTATAGAATTTTTGCAGGCAAAGATACCCAAGGGATGATCAAAATTATCATTGGATTATGATTGAAAAAATCTTTCAAAATCTTCTGAAGAATTAGTGAGCAAGAAGAGATAATACCAGTATAAAAGCTTCATTACATATAGTTTACATTTCAAGTCATATTTATATATATATATATATATATATATATATATATATATATATATATATATATATATATATATATATATATATATTTATGGAAGCAGTATCTAGTATTGCTATGTAACATGTACCGATAGACCACAATTTGTGCAGTGAAGGTAGGTGCGCATTGTCGTCTGTGGCAAAATTAACAGGGCGATACAATGTGTACGGTCATAATCGTACTGCGTAAATTAGCATACGAGACACGTTAATGTGATTTACACATCAATTATAATCAGAAAACTACAAAAACAAAATGTCTGATTCCCCCGTACGTATGGCAATATAGCGAAGATTAAACCTTTCTTATATGCAAATTTGATATAATGGTACCCAACGCAGGGTATTCTCACGAGAAATACAATTGTGAAATATGAGAGAAAGACAAGGTTAAATATTTTCATAAATACAGAAATCATCAAGGTAAAAAGGTCAAAGAACGAGTGCACTTATGGGCCCCTGTAAAATGTGAAAAAATAAACAATCAAATTAAGCTAAAATTTTCATCTCAAATCATTAATTGATATCTAAACCATACGATTCAACAAATTTTACTGCTGAAATCCACGAATATGCAAAGAACAAAACTATACAATGTGGTAGGGGTCATCCGACATTGGCGATTTTCTATAGTAAATTGAGAACAGTCATTCATTTCAAAGCCTTTGTTAACTATGAGCCTAACGTTGTGCAAACTTGTGCTAATGACAGAAGACGCATATTACATTTATAAAACTTATGTGAAAGTATGAAATTTGCACATGATTAGGTTCGTACTTAAAATATTAAAAATGTATAAAAAGTACAATGTTTTTTCTATAGCAAGTGAGAACTACAGTGTATTTACCTGTATGACCCATGTTGAACCCACGTATGGAATAAATTATTTAAAATACTGATAGTCACGTGAGTTCTACCCAGGTAAACATTCCTCAAAAGTGCTCACTGTAAAACAGGCAGGTTTTGTTTCAGTAAGTCAAAGTCTTGCCGCTTAGAGATGTTTGTATGTACTAGCATTTGTTTTTAAGAACACGGGAGGGTAAGGAGATCTAAGTGTAGTTCATAAAGTGTTAAACATTTTTTAACTTTCATGAAAGACAATGAAACAGGTACTGAAAGCCACCTATAACACTCCTTTTTAATTTCAAATTCAATGAAGCTATTATTGTAATTTTTCAAATACAAGAGTACCAATTTCTTAGTTTAATCATTTTAGATACAGAACTTCATTCCATATTTTTAAAAACAGGTTTGGCGCAAGAAATATCATTCCGCAAACGCTTAATATCTATTCCCTTGAATTACATAAACGAAACTAAAAGAAGGTTCGGCACGACTTTTCCGAATTTATAGGGTATCCATAGGCCTTTCAAAATATTCAATTGTTTCAATCCATGCTTATTTAAGTGGCGCTTTTAACATGCTTTTTGATTAGAAATATCCACTAGTATCTAACTATTACCAATAGAGAACGATTTGGTAATATATTCTGAAGTAAAATGGCACATAAAAAGGGCCCATTAAGTATTGCTTAAGTGCACTTGTCCTTTGTTGGTATTCAATATAAGGATTTTTTTTACAAAGAATAAATATACATCTGTACGAAGTATAAAAGTCCTTGTATTTACTGTTCAAAACATATGGCCAAAGTAAAAGTTTGAAATTTTCGTGTAAAATTGGTCAATCTCCAAGGTCAAGGTCAAAACTTCAAATATTGTGATACCCAAAGAAAGGTCTTGTTACACGGAATACACATGTAATAACTACACTAAATAAAAAGTAAGGATAAGGTTAAAAGTTTTGCGGACAAACAGACAATTAGACAGCTTGACAGACTGACGGACAGACACGATGAAAACTATATACCCCAAACTACGTGGGCATAAAAAAAAATTAAGCAACAATGTTTGTTGGACGACAATACATGTATGCGCAGTAGGCTACACTACGTAGGCAGCGACATTGATGATTGTTTGATTGTATACTGTTTAACGTCCCTCTCCAGAATATTTCACTGATATGGAGACGTCACCATTGCCGGTGGAGGGCTGCAAATTTAGGCCTATGCTTGGCACTTACGGCCTTTGAGCAGGGAGGGATCTTCGTGCCACACCTGCTGTGACACGGGGCCTCGGTTTATACGGTCTCATTCGAAGGACCGCCCCATTTAGTCGCCTTTTACGACAAGCAAGGGGGTACTGAAGATCTATTCTAACCCGGATCCTCACGGGGCGCGACAAACAATATACCGTATAACGGGTATTTATCACGTGCTGCTTTTTTTTTTTATAATTTTGTTTACGAGTTTTATAAACAGTTAAATTTAAACTCGTAAAATTTTATATTAAAAAAAAAAAAGCCTGGTATTACGAGGGGTGATCAAAAAGTTCGCGAACTAATTGAATAACTTCCATAAAAGAAACAATATTTGGTTTCAGTGTTGATAATATTTTAAATAAGTCCTCTCCGATTTTAATACACATCTGCCACCATTCTGCTTATGAGCGAATCACGTGATATAGGCGGTCACGTGACTCCCTCCGTAGCGTTCTTTAACAAAAGCTGAAAGATTTTTTTGAGTTTTATATTTCTTTCCATGTAGGTTAATTTTTATAACTAGAACAGTTCATGTGTAAGAAAGGGTCAAATCTCGGCAATCAGAATGGATGGATAAGAATTTCCTTTTCAAAAATAAGCATGGCGACCATCAAAACCCAAATCTTATGTCTTGGTAGAGACATTTATTCAAGGTGGATAGAGAATAGGTGCCTCCTTTTTATCATATCTAATATGTTTAAAATCTAAAGTAAACGGTATCTTAGGTATTTAAGGGGGATGTACAAGCCATATTGGATCTAGTCTGGTGTGAAATAAGAAATACCAAGAATGCGCTTAATACTCGTCTAAACTAACCCAAAGTTACTCAAAGTGCTAATGCACTAGTTACCTACTGTTAGAGACCAAAATTAGTAAATAATTAAGTTTAGTTTGTTTTAATTAGAAGGAAATCAATCATGTTAGAACTGCGCAGCTACAGCATTCACGAGATGAAAAATGCATTGAAAATGGTGTTAGTTTGATTCATTGATAATATGGCTACAACCATTTGTTTCGCTTTTTTCTTGTCATTATCCATAATTCTTGAAGATTAGATTTTTCATATGTGTCTTCCTGAGGCCATGTGTTTATTTCGTCCGCCATTCCTCTGTCACACAGAGTTCGAATAACATTGATTTTAGAATAAATGCGACCATAATAACTTCAAGACAAGAGATTACCAAGTTATAATCATTAGGTAATATTACTTACTACTTTTATTTGTTGCATCGCTTCGTCTGATTAATGAAAAAACGCGATTTTAACCCCACTCCGGCAAATCGGGAAAAACGGTTTACAGCTCGAGTTTCCTCGTTAATATTATTACACTGAGCACGTGGTTGGCATGTGCATATATCTGCTGTGGATAGATGGGTTTATTACCATGATTATATTTAATTTTTCATGGAACAAATCTTGATAATTTGTTGGTTTCTTTAAAACTCAAGAAAAAAGATAAAAAAATGTCCTAAACATATGTGTTTACGTCGGGTCTTTTTTCTGTGGCGATAGAAGTTAATTTGAAATGGGGCACTGCAAGGAGGATGCTTAGCATTTAACTTGAAAATGTTAAACAATATGCGATGCATGAAAAACAAATTGTAATTACATGTCTTACATTCGAGAAGTTGGTACATATGTCTATTTTGTTTAGCAGTTAGATAGAAAAATTAGGCAGTCATGGGATTTCCTTCAGGCACCTCATATAAATAGCTTGATTGTTTGCAATCACCAACACATTGTATGGAGTAATGTTTGGACATAAAAACGCATCATGTCTCCTTATGTTGACAACGTTGTAAGCTCTCGCTCATTGAACATACGAAGGTTGATAAAATATATTGAGTTGTTTCTTTGAAATTTTGAAGCAAGCACAATGTTTGCAAAGAAAGGTGCATTGCATATGCTATGTCTATCATCGCAAAAAAATGAGAGACTAACCCCCCCCCCTCCCCGAAAATCCTATGTTCTTTTTTCAAAATAGTGCCAAAGATTCAAATATTTTGCATTACTAAGTATGTGATGGAACATGTACTAGCCTTATATAAGACCATTTTTAATAAAAATATTTGGTTGCCCTCTCTCCCGATCTACTGCCTAGAAATGGCCCGACTCAATTTTATTTTACATCCCAATTACAGGATTTTTTTTTCTTCCGTCAACAAATATGTTTAAGTTTGAAGGAAATTTTTTCTCACCTATAAATACGGATCCAATAATTTTTCTCAGAGTTGTGAGGACCACCAAACGTCATTTTAAAGATGATATAAAATATT